AACCTTCCAAAGACCGATGTCGATCTCCCACCTCTCTCTGAGAAGGACAAGGCCGATCTCAAGTTCGGTGTTAAGAACAAGGTCGACATGGTCTTTGCATCCTTCATCCGCCGTGGTGAGGACATCACTGCCATCCGTGAGGTGCTCGGCGAGGAGGGCAAGGAGATTCAAATTATTGCCAAGATCGAGAACCAGCAAGGTGTTAACAACTTCGATGAGATTCTCGAGGAGACTGACGGTGTCATGGTCGCCCGTGGTGACTTGGGTATCGAGATCCCTGCGCCCAAGGTCTTCTTGGCCCAGAAGATGATGATTGCCAAGTGTAACATGAAGGGCAAGCCCGTCATCTGTGCCACTCAGATGCTCGAGTCCATGACATACAACCCCCGCCCCACCCGTGCGGAGGTATCGGACGTTGCCAACGCTGTTCTCGACGGCGCTGACTGTGTCATGTTGTCCGGAGAGACTGCCAAGGGCAATTACCCCAAGGAGGCCGTCACCATGATGCACGAGACTTGCCTGCTCGCCGAGGTTGCCATTCCATATGTCAACGCATTCGACGAGCTGAGATCGCTTGCCCCAAGACCAGTCCCAACCACTGAGACCTGTGCCATGGCCGCTGTGTCGGCATCTCTCGAGCAGAACGCCGGTGCTATCCTCGTGCTGTCGACCAGGTACGTGCATATGCCTGAGGGTGTCAAGACCAGAAACTGACCGTTCCGTAGTGGTAACACCGCCCGTCTCGTGTCCAAGTACAGACCCGTTTGCCCCATCATCATGGTCACCCGCAATTCCCGCGCTTCCAGAGTAAGTGCACTGCAATGCTTTCTTCAAACATCCAATCTTTCTCGCTCTCCTTTGCTAACCCGATTTCCTTTGTAGTATGCTCACCTGTACCGCGCTGTCTGGCCCTTCCACTTCCCCGAGGCCAAGCCCGACTTCAAGACCACCCCGTGGCAGGAGGATGTTGACCGCCGCCTCAAGTGGGGTATCAGTAACGCCATCAAGCTCGGCATTCTGGACAAGGGCGCCCCAGTCGTCTGTGTCCAGGGCTGGCGCGGTGGCATGGGACACACCAACACTGTCCGTGTGGTCCCTGCTGAGGAGAACCTTGGTCTCGACCCGGAAGCGTAGACTTGATGCGACGTTTGGCGGGTTGCCGGATTGCAGCGGAGTTGGGGGCTGGGGGCAGAGATTCGTGGTGAACAAAAGGATGGAATTTCACAATATTGCGAAGCGGGGAAGGATACAGCGGTGATTTTCTCATGTTGCGTAGCGGCCTTAATCGTACCACGAAAAGAAGAAGCAAGCAAATGTCAAAGTTCTCCTATCGTTATCGCCTCGCATGGTCTTGCACGTTTTCTGTCTGCGTGTCGACTTACTGCTGCTCTCGCAGTTGCCAAAAGGCCGACGGGAAGGCCTGCAAGAGGACCTGCTCAGGCAATGCCGACGGACCCCCTCAAAGCTGAGGCCGGCCAGCGACTCTCCTTCATCGTACGTATTCCTGGTGCAGCAAATGCTGACGCCAACGCAACCTCGACATCATCCTCTTCAAACGCCAACGCTACGGAACTCAGCTGAGGTCCGGGGAACTGAGATGCTTTGGCGAGACTGTCTACTGCAAGGGACCCTAGTAGAAGCCTTACGAACACAAGGGGGCCAGGGCGACCGCAGTCCAGTTCTGGATGATGCGGGAGGCACTTCTGGATGATGCTTGAGTGTCGACTTGTCGAGCGCGTTCTATATTGGAACTTAATCATGTAACAAACAGCGGAGTCTGTTATTGTGTTGGTTCGTCATGGGAAAGGAAGTCGGGAGCTCTTGTATCGAAAAAATAAAAAAATTATCACTTTGTACGGCGCAGAGGGTATCATACCATCTTCTAGCTTGCTCGGTTCAGCTCGAGTGAGAGACCATACCCAGAAAAATGGCGAAGAAGGGGCGATTAAGTACTGGAAAAAATGCAGCGCAGGAAAGGGTGGGAACTATGACGACGACGACGACGACCGTCGTCGAAATTCCGGACTCCTAACTCCTCTTCTCCTCCTTCTCCTTCTTCTTGTGCTCCTTACCCTTATCCTTCTTGGTCGCCGCCTCAGCCATCAGTTGCTCAAACGCCATGTAATCGCCCTCCTCATCCGGATCCCTCTCCGCCTTCGCGAACATCTCACCGATCATGGCAAGCGCCTGTGCGCGCTCCATCCGCTTCTCCAGCTTGACCTTCTTGTCGTTGAGCACCTTGTCGCAGACGTCGCGCAGCACGCTCTGAATCTCAAATTTGCTGCCTCGCCATGCGGCCGCCAGGATCTTGCCCGTCACACGCTTCTCGAACTCGGCACGGCGCTCGTCCGTCCAGTCCTCGCCGCCTCGCTCTTCCGCCCGTGCCATTTCTTCAATCTCCATCTGCGCCGAGATGGCCGTCGATACCGTTCCCCATGTCTCTTTCACCAGGTTGCCCTTATCCTTTAACCGGCCGAAGAAGCCAGTCACGCCGCCGATCAAAGGCCGCTGGCTCTTGAGGAAGTTGCTCGCTTTCTGCACGTACACTTGACCGATGGCGTGCAGGATCTCCAGACCGAAGCTCTCCATCTTGAGGTTTTCGATCTCGAGCGCGTTCTTACCCTTGAATGCTTCCGTCACGTCCTTGCCCTTGTCGGTTTCTGTCCAGACGGATATCCGGTCGACGAGCTTCTTGGCCAGGGTATCAACACGCTCGTCGCGCACGCGCTGACGCTCCTTTTCGAATGCGGCGAGCTCTTCCCGTTGCTCTTTCGTAAGACCCCCTTCTTCTTCTTTTGCTGCAATTTCTTTTCTTCTTCCGTCATGCCTGCAGCCTGCATCTGAGCCTCTTCCTCCGTACGGTCTGTGATTGCAAGACGTGTCGGGACACCCTTCGGTCGTGGTGTCGAGGTGCCAGATTCGGACGGCGGTTCTGCGGTTTCTGCTCTCTTCTCTGGGTCGAGATTCAGCTTCTCCAAAGGCGGGATCTCCTGCTCGACCGCGACTGATGGAGGTGGAGGAGCGCCGTAAGTGCTCTGTGCGGTTGCTTCCTGGCCTTTGATTTCCGCATTCATGGCCGCTTCGGCGGGAGTGTGCCCTTCTTCCTCCATCTCTTTCATGGTGATCTCCATGGAGCGCTCAAGGTCCTTCATCATAGAGATCTCGCCGATCCTGACAGGGGTTAGAAGATGGAGATGGAATATTTCGCGTATGCGTGCCATACCAGTCTGTGAATGCCTCCCCACCAAAGATCATAGCAAACATCTCTGCTGGGTCCTCTGCAGTGTTGTTAGCCTATCTCTTCCCAACGACCAAATCTCGTTGCTCCGTACCGAATCCGCTGCTCGGCGCAGCTCCTCTTTCCATGCTCATCGTATAGTTTCCTCAGTTGTGGCTCGCTGAGGATTTGGTATGCTTCGCCGACCTGGAAAGTACATTAACAAGAGGGGTCATGTGGCCGCAGAAGCACTCGACATACAGCCTGGAACTTGTTGTGGGCTTCTTCATCTCCTGGGTTCTTGTCTATTGCCTGTCAGGCATGAACGAACATGCGTGTATCCTGTCAGTGCCCTTACCGGGATGCAACCTCAGTGCGGCTTTGCGGTATGCCTTCTTGATTTCAAGTTCGGTGGCAGTGGGCGGCACCCCAAGCAGGTCGTAGTACTCCGTGTCTTTCACCATTCTGGCGACTTAATATTTTGTGAGAGGTTGAAGGCGGTAGGGAAGTATGCCTCTACCCTGATATGGCCAACGAGCGGGTAGGGGTTCGGTTTAGGAGGGCTTTGCTGCGTATCCAGAAAAAGTTTGTTCGTGTCGTGTAATAAGCGATATGAACAGGAACACAGTACACGACAGTCGGAGTGGGCTTCGTTGTGTATGTATACGTATAGATATCAACGCAAGTGGTATAGATAAGTATGCAGAGTCAAGTGGGGACTTTTGTCTGGGCTCATGTGAAACTGTTGCCAGGGCTGCGTCGCGTCGCTCACCTGATGACGTACAGCAAAGAGGCTGAGATCAAACATCAGCCACAATGTGTACTGTACACCCACTTCTGTTTCATTTCGTTGGAGTGTCATGTCATGTCTCTTCTCGGTCCTTTTTATGAACATGTGTGCGAGCGACAGACAGCAAAGCCTGTCTGAGGCTACTTGAGCATGTCTGACACACGGCGCATTACATGTATACGCCATAAGAGCACTAGCGAAGATGTCTTTCGCGACCAATCCTTAGAATACACCACCATTTCACACAAAAACACCGTCTCTTGCACTTCCAATCCGTTTTGGACTCTGAGAATGGTATATCTGCCCCTTTGACACAGCTCGATCAAACACAATGATATAAGTGCACGATCGGCACCACAATCAGTGACGATGCGGAGATCCTCTACTGTTTGTTTCTGTCTCTATCTGCTCCTCAATCAAGATCAACTCCATGCAAATCTTTTACGGTTTCTATACACTCCGGAGAAAGCTTGTTATGTGTCATCTCGTATACCCTTGCTCTGCACTTCTACATTACCTGGCCGGCTCCCACTGATGCAGGTTCACCGACGACCGGCATGCTGCGTTTGAGCGATATCAACTCTCCGTCCACTGTCAATTGTTAGCTACTCGAAGTACTAGTCGAGTAACGCGGCATATGCCTACATGCAGCATACTCTTCTGATTCAAATCAACGTTTCATCGTCCATCTCTCGGACGGGAGATCTTCGGTTTTTTGAACGAGCTGAAGGGACACAGCTGGACAAGCGGATCTGGTCCCCGCTCGCAACAGAGCCGGAGCCAGGCGAACCATGCTTGGTTGGCGGGCTGCGACGAATCTTTGGCTTGGTCTCCTTCGATGCCACACCACGTCAAGACTGGGTACGGCTGACCTTATGCACGCCCTCGGATTTGCCGTCGGCTTGCCCCGTCTTTTCAACGTACATTGGATGTATATGGCCGCTGCTGCTACAACAACATCTGTCTTAGGCGATTACTCGCCTATTCATCTACCTCCGCTTAGCTCAGCTGGAAGTAGCGCAAGACTGTAATATCAATCAGATAATCTTGAGGTCGCCTGTTCGATCCAGGCAGCGGAGAACGCTCTTTTGCTTGTAGCATGCATGCCTTTTGTCTCTTTGAAGTACACAGACCATGGTTCTTCTTCTTGCTCTACACATTAAGGGCTTCAAACAGCCCCTCTGGAGTCCCTCATGCCTTCTACAGCATGGCAGGCCTAGGAGAACGACGCCCCGTCGTTCAACTACAATCCGTATGGTGTACGACCTGTAGGACCGGGTATGTTCTCACCTGGCATTTTGAACAGAGTATATATTTTATCATGGCAAAGTCGTGCAGCATCACGTGATGAGTGGTTCATTGGTTCGTTTCTTCGTTCCTGTCCCTACACCATCAGTCATACTAATTGCCTCATCAGGTCTAGTGGTATGATTCTCGCTTAGGGCCCACCCTGAGTATCACACTCCATGAATGCGAGAGGGTGAGATTGCCTTTACACAAAACTTCTCAAACCTACATCACTAACATCAACTTAGTCCCGGATTCGATCTCCGGATGAACCCAATCATATTTTTGCCATGTTTGGGTCGGTCGTTCGTCGAAGAGAAAGTCGACTTTTGTTCGTTGTGCGACCTGGTAGGAGAGGAAGGCAGCACAGTCCTGTTATCAACTTGCTTCTAATGAACAGCACCCGACCAGAATGTGAAGATCTTCAACACCATGGAATCGACTACATGAGACGCCAAACTTCGTCACGTCCTGCAAATGCATATGCTGGCCGCTTAGCTGCACTCGCTTCGTCTCCCAGATGGATGTCAGCTTTCGCTAGTGGGCAGTCTTGGAAACAAACCCGTGGCAGCCTTCCCCGAGGCCGGCACCTTGTTTGGTCAGGGTATATATTTCCTATGATCGAAACGAGCCCCTACCTACAGTGCGGTTGGTAAGTTTCATTCACCTTCCTCATTCGGTATTTCTAGTCTAACAGTCCTTCAGTATAGTGTAGTGGTTAGCACGCGGGATTTTGACGAGTCTTGTCTCCAAAGTTCCCGAGACCCCGGTTCGAGCCCGGGTACGACCTTTGCGGTGCTTCGAAAGGCCATGATGATCTCCTTCTCTTTGCTACTCCACCAAGTACCAGGGGGACACTGAGCGACTTCGGTGTCCTCCGTTACCTGCGAGACTTTTTACGGTGCGCTGGAAAACTGTTTCCATCTTTCACCAAGGTCAATCTCCCAAATGCAGTCAAGATGATAGGACTGTCCTTCTAATGGATCCGGAAGAGATTTGACAGAAGCGCCTCGCCAGATCGATACTTCTCACGGCCATTCTACTTGACTAGACTTCGAAGAACGAACAAAGGAAACATGGTTCGAACTAGACAAATGCAAGCACGAACGCTTCAACAGAGCGAAAACGGCCTGGACCCCACTCATGCACCCCACGGTCGCCTGCAAACAACCCCGCGTGGGAGATCGCTCGAGGTGCGGGGTATGTGAGTTTACGGTCACTTGACGGGCTGGACGCTCGTCAGACCTCAGCATCACACAAAAGAACACAGCACACCATGCATTGCAGGACGAGGCTGAGTCACTCCGATTGCGGCGCACAAGTACTGCCCAGTCTTCGAAGTACAGCGACACCTTTACACCAGCAAAACTTCCTAATCCTTCCAACAAAAAAAGCCAATCCCGCCGTGAGTTGAGCCTATTAATATTTGATCTGGTTCTGACAAATACTGGAATAGAACGTGACAGAGCAGCCTTGTAGACGTGTTGTGAATACCGTAGGACATACTCGCCATGCCTCTTGCTGAACCTAGTTCCAGGAATGGCCACAGCACTTCACGTCCCTTGGTTCTGATCCCGGAGAAGGTCTCTCCGGATGGTCTCGCCTTGCTCCAATCCGCCACCGAGGTGCACGAACGTAAAGGACTCTCTCCGGAAGATCTTTTGCAAATAATCGGAGACTATGAAGCCCTGATAGTTCGGTCAGAGACCAAGGTGACAGCAGCGCTGCTCGCGGCCGGCAAGAGGCTGAAGGTCGTTGCGAGGGCTGGTGTTGGTGTGGATAACGTCGATGTTGAGGCGGCTACGAAGCATGGGATCATTGTGGTCAACTCGCCTGTGGGCAACATTAATGCTGCGGCTGAACACACGATTGCCTGTAGGTACTTCCCTCATTTACTGGAGAAACTGCCTCACTCTCGAAGAGAGTATGTGGATGAGTAGGATCGCGAGTGCACGCTGAAAGCCATTGAGCTGTTCTGCCATATGACAGAAATGGCCATAACAAAGCAATGCTAATGTGGAGCATTTCAGTGCTCATGGCCGTTGCTCGCAACATCGGAGACGCTTGCGCGAGTCTCAAAAGCGGCAGATGGGAACGCAGCAGGTTGGTAGGTGTCGAGGTCAAGGGCAAGACACTGGCCATCATCGGCCTGGGGAAAGGTAAGAAATCTCCATACTACCTCGGAATGCTGTTGACTCACCTTGCCATAGTCGGCCTGACCGTAGCACGCATTGCACACGGGATGGGCATGAACCTCATCGCCTACGATCCTTATGCCAACCCCTCCCTCGCTTCCGCCGCCTCCGTGGATCTGCTTCAGAGTCTTCCCGAATTACTAAAGGAAGCCGACTTCCTGACTATCCACACGCCACTCATTGCCTCGACCAAAGGCATGATCGGCTCTGCTGAGCTCGAGCTGATGAAACCAACCGCACGTATCCTCAATGTTGCACGAGGCGGCATGATTGATGAATCGGCTTTGCTGTCTGCGCTCGAAAACGGCACCATCGCGGGCGCAGGCATTGATGTCTTCTCCTCGGAGCCACCAGACGCAAACTCGTCCGCTCGTGCGCTGATTGCGCACCCACAAGTAGTGGCCACACCACACCTCGGAGCGTCAACCGTAGAGGCTCAAGAAAACGTTTCTATCGATGTGTGCACACAAGTGCTCTCCATCCTCTCAGGCTCACTCCCACGCTCGGCCGTTAATGCACCCATCATCCTACCCGAGGAGTTCCGCACCCTACAACCCTTCGTGTCGCTAGTTGAGAAGATGGGCAGCCTGTACACGCAGCACTGCGCACGGAACCCCTCGCAGCAATACCGCACCACATTCGACGTGACGTACGAGGGCAGCCTAGCGACGCTCAAGAGCACGCAGCCCCTGTTCGCGGCGCTGGTCAAGGGGCTGTTGACGCCTATCACGGCAGCCGAGACGCTCAACATCAACATCGTCAATGCGGAGCTGGTCGCGAAGCAGCGCGGGATCCTGATCAACGAGAACCGGAGTCGCGAGAACATCGAGCAGGTAGAGGGATACTCATCCTTCGTGACACTGCGTGCGCGTGTAGACCCACGGAGTCCGTCTGCGAGCCGCCGGCTGAATGATCCCTTCGCCAGTGCGGGCACCGCCGCCGCCTCAGCGGCCAGAGCAAAAGCGGCACAGGAAGACGCTCATGTCATCTCGGGCTTCGTCTCCCATAACACGCCTTACATCAGCCGACTGGGCCGTTTCAGTACCAGCTTCGTACCCAGCGGAACATTGCTAATCTGCCGCAACTACGATTCGCCGGGTAAGATTGGCGTCGTGGGTGGTCGGCTCGGCAAGGCCGGCGTCAATATCCGATCTATGAGTGTTGCACCGCTCGATAGAGATGAGGAGGGAGAAGGAGATGAGTTGACAAAAGTCGATAGCTTAGTGCAAGGAAGGAAGGAGAACGAAGCGTTGATGATTCTCGGAGTGGATGGGATGGTGGAGGACAGCGTAAGGAAGGACTTGATTGGGCAGGAGGGAGTTTTAGAGGCTAGCGTTGTGGTGCTCTAGAGGGGAGGGCTAATGAATAGCCGCCTGTCGTTGCGGGCCCGCGAACGAGGATCATGACCTTCTCCCATCACTGTGGATTGTATTTCCGAACACAATCCCGTATCGATCCAAGTCCTTGCTGTTCACCGCCCTTGTTAACGTCAACCAGTTGGATAAAATTGCCTTGCTTATCCTCCCTGCTTCCATCCACATCGGCCGCGCACCATGAACAAGGAAGGATCCCGGCCGACAATATGGGAGAGAAGCCGCACAATCCTTCGCTTGACCTGGACAGCACGGTGAAGGGCACGAATATAATTGACAGCTCGACCGTAGCTGCGGAGGTGAGGAAGAAGGAAAGGGTTAGGAAGCTGCCCTTACTGACAAAGCTACCGCTAGAAAGGATGAGCGTTCTCGGCCTTAGTTTGGTATGAGGTAAGAGAGGCGCTAGAACTCTACGAGCGATTCAATAGGAGCAAACTCCAGGAGCTTCTTAACAGCGATTTCTTATGCTTGCTGGAAGTTTTTAAGATCATGAGAGTGTCGCAATCGTTTGCCAACCGTGCCTTGTTTACATAACGGCACGCAGTGCCTTGAAAGCGTCCTGCCTGCTGCCCAGATAACGCTGCTCCGATTCATTCCAGTTGATGACGTTCCAGATGTTCTGTACATAGTCCGCCTTGCCGTTGAAGTACTGCAGATAGTATGCGTGCTCCCACATGTCTACGCCAAAGATAGGGACGACAGAGGCGGCAACAGGGTCCTGGTCCTTGGTTGTGACAATGTCCAACCTGCCGTCCGCTGCGTTCTTGACAAGCCATCCCCATCCGCTGCCCTGAATGCCCAGCAGAGCAGCTCCAAAGGCCTCTTTGAACTTGTCGAAGCTGCCATACTGTCCTTGAATGGCATTCATGAGCTTCGGCGCCTTTTCAGTCGTGGCTTCGGAGGAGTCTGGCGGCGCCAGATTGCGCCAGAACAGACTGTGGTTGATGTGACCGCCGCCGTTGAAGCGGATGGCGGCCTGGTTGGCGATGCGGGCTGGAAGGTCGGATGAGGACGCAGATTGGGCTTCCACGTTGAGAGCTTTGTTGAGGTTGGTGATGTACGTTTGATGGTGTTTCGAGTGGTGGAGCTCCATTATCTTTTGCGATATGTGCGGTTCGAGAGCCTGGGAAGAGTGAGCATCATGATTGTTTGTCGTGATCCGTATGACGATTCGGTGTCGGTATGGCATGAAGAGCATTCGCTACTCGGATTTGCTCACAACACCGAAAAGACAACAAAACACACATACATCATACGCATATGGCAGGGGAGGGAGAGAGTATTCACTTGCCATTATGAGGCTGTGGTTGCTGAGAACAAGGAACGGGCGGTGCTGCTGGGCGCAGTTGAGAAGCTGAGCGACACGCAAGAAGGAGACTGAGTAAGAGAAGAACGAACACCATGATGGCGCCAGCGGCCTCTTCATCTATTATTGGGGTTGACTGCAGACACCATGATGGCGTGGACAGAGGAAACGCCATCAAGGTGGAAACATGCTCATATTGCACCAAACTTGCTCAATACTGCGCGCGGGATGTCTTGGCATGAAACAGCCACGAAACAACAAGCAGCGGTATAAATGGGAAAGGTAATATTACCTGTTCTTTGAAGAAGTCAACTCGTCCCTCACGTTTGCATACAAACAGTCATTCTTTACCTTTAACCTCCGTGCAAGCCACGAACACCCGACATGTGCAACGGAGAAAGCACAAGAACTAGCGTTGGAGGTACCATTGCCGTCCTCAAGCCGTCCAGCACCTCAATCGCTCAGCCGGAAATGTCGCTTTTATTCCAGCCAGGCCAGAGTACAACTCTGGCAACATTGCATTCGACAGCAGCACCGGCGGAAGGACCATACCGAGTCGTAATTCAGTAGGCGTCTTCCCGGACTGCTCCTCGAAGATGAGACTGATAGCCCACAGCCGCGATGGGGATCTCAGAAACACAGACACACCGTCCCAAGCCGACTCGCTCCATGACTTCTCTCTTGCAGGGAGTCGGAAGGGTTATGAAGCCGGCTACGAAGAGTTCCAGATTCCTCTGAGGTTTGATCTCGGGGTTGGAGGCAACGGTATTATCGGTCGGCGGATATCGTTCTACCAAGAATCAAGCCCGCCATCACGATTGTTTTGGCAGGGCATCATCGGCTGGAATTGAAGGGAGGAGTGTCCATGTTGTGTTGTTCTGTTATGCTCCGATGTCTTGATGAGGATTGAGCGGAG